TCGGAGGACTCTGCATTGCGAGGCCGTGCTTTTGTCAACTAGCTAGGAAACTCCTTTTGAGCCAGACTCCAATGGGCACACCGAGGAATGGGGGTGTCCCAGCTTGCCTGGGCTCTCCCAGCTCCCTCCACATTTCTCAAGTCCCATCTGTCAAACCTTTGCCACTCTCCAAGCCCTCTGCCTGCTGCCTGGTTCCCTGCAGAAAACTTCATCTGTATAATCCAGAGAGAAGTCAACTCACTGGCAGGAAACTCCCTTAATTCCCTGAACTCATAAGCCTGCAATCAAAATGACGGCTGCCTCCTCTGTGCCTGTCACCGTGAAATGCAATAGAAGTCTGTGTTCGTATCAGGCGAATCCTTCTACCCAAGGCGTGATTCCTGTCAGCCCTGCCATCTCAGGGGTCTTGCTCCAAGACTAATGTTCTCTTCCTTCTATTTCTTCGAGTGCTGGTTTTCTCTTACTCTCTCTCCTGAGCACTGAAACATGCACGAGTCTCCCAATTCTAAAACAACATTCCAGCTCCACTGTCCACTCCAGGGGCCATCGTCCTTCCTCTTGTTCCCAGTCCGGCTTCTTGAGAGAGAAAGCCATGCTCACTATTGACACTTGCTCATTTTCTACTCGTTCTTAGAGCCACAGAAGGCTGGTTTCTGTCCCCACTCACCCGCTAGACCCACTCTCCAGAGATGTTGCAAAATCCAATAGACCTTCCCAGTAATTATCCAACTTGACCTCTCAGTTACTGCATCTTTTATTCACTCCATCCTTTTGGGAATACCGTTTCCTAGGCCCACAGGATGCTCTGATCTCTTGGCTTTCCTCCTACCCTCCTGGCTGCTTCTCTGTCATCCTCGTCTCATTCATTGCTTAAGTGTGGATGCTCTTCCGTGTTCTTTCTTGAACCCTAAATTCTGCCCCTGTGCTGCCGAAGCTTTCCCCATGGCTTCAGCTGCATCTGCAAGGGGATGATTTTCCGATCTGCACCTGCCGCCCAAACCGCTTTCCTGAACTTTGTACCTAAGCATTCACCCATTTTCCTCTCGGAGGGGTGACCACATCTCATACTCGGCATGTCCACAACGGAACTCACCGTTCTCCCTCTTCCTTGCCATTATCCATCTGCTCCAGCACACCCCTCCTTCTGGGTTCCTGGTCTCAGAGATCAGCACAGCTGTGGACAAGCCAGAAACTGGCCCCCAAGAAACCTGTCAAAGCCAGGAATGATCTATTCCTTCTCCTCCCTCCCCACCTGCTTCTGGCCAATCATCACGTCCCACCTCATTTTTGGTTTCCCCCAAAACTTGCATTTCCCTGGAACTCCGCTGCCTCTCTCTTAGTCTAAGTTGCTATCATATTTCCCTTGGGATATTAATAGACCTGTTATTTGCTCTTTTCCTGGTTCTCCCAAGGATACCCTATTGCCCAAAGACTAAAGTCCAAATTTCCTGGCATGGAGGAGAAGGCCTTCAGGACCCGGACTTTGTTTATCTCTGTATCTTCATGTTTCATGGCACCATGGCCTCTCCTTGGCCCTCCCTCCATGCTGGCTGACTGGGCTTCTGCAGATCTCTCCTTTCTCTTGAGGCCCCTGCCCCAGGTGTTCCCACGCTGCTCCCTACACCCGAGCCCCTGGGACTTTGCTGAGACAGCGCTTCCACCATGCAGCCTTCCCATGCGTCCACAAGGCGCCCTCTGCCTGGTGTCGCAGCGGCATTCATCACACCGCAGCACAGTAGCGCCTTCTCAGCGGACTGTAAGACTGTGCCGGCCGGGCGCGGTGGCTCACGCCTGTCATCCTAGCACTCTGGGAGGCCGAGGCGGGCGGACTGCTCGAGGTCAGGAGTGCGAAACCAGCCTGAGCAAGAGTGAGACCCCCGTCTCTACTATAAATAGAAAGAAATTAATTGGCCAACTAATATATATAGAAAAACTTAGCTGGGCATGGTGGCGCATGCCTGTAGTCCCAGCTACTCGGGAGGCTGAGGCAGCAGGATGGCTTGAGCCCAGGAGTTTGAGGTTGCTGTGAGCTGGGCTGACGCCACGGCACTCACTCTAGCCTGGGCAACAAAGTAGGACTCTGTCTCAAAAAAAAAAAAAAAAAAAGACTGTGCTTTATCCAACTTCTAGCTGGGCGCCTGGCCCCAGGCTTAGCACGTGTTTGGAATGAATGGACAGGCACGTGTTCACAAATCGTCTTCTATTTCATGGTGCATGGGTTCTGCGAGCCGCCTCCTCCTAACTGCAACACCAGGAAATACTCTACACGGTGGCTGTTCACAAACGTCCTCATCCCTAACCCCCGCCCAGAGCACAGCGGTGACAATCTCCGCCTCGGCATGTGACAGAGAAGCAGTCTCCGAGTGGGCACTCATGCCTCAGTGTCACCTTTGTGGGCTGCACGTGTGCTGGAGCCTGTGGCGCTGGACCTTCCCCACGCGGAGAGGAGAGCACAGCTGAATGACGTGAGCCGCTGGGGGGTGGGTGTGTGCACCGCACTTAACACTCCTGGTGGCGCTGGGCGCTTCTGCACGCCAAGCTCCATTCTGTGGAGGGAATTTGGGATGCACAAAGCAACCACCTGTGCTGATTTGCCTGGGACTGCGGGAATTCCTGGGATGTGAGGTGTCAGTGCTAAATCATAGGCAGAGTCCCAGCAAAGCCGGGGTAAGCTGGTGGTCTCACCGGGGCTGGAAGTTGGGATTTGTACAAAAGAAGATTGAATTAGTTCTCTGTGACCCCTTGACCTGACCCCTGCTCCCTCCCTGAGTGGCTCCCTGGAGCGATGTGATCAAAAACAAAGATAAAGTGGCTGCCCTGTAGTGTCTCAACAGGGTTACCTCTTAGGCGTGTGACCAGTGTCTGCAGGCAGTGTGTGGGGGCAGATCATGAAGGTGGGGGCAAGAGGACTGTGTACACCGCTCATCCCCCAGCCCCACTCCCCACAACTCCCACAACTGGGGAGACAGAGGTCTAAGGGGATATGGGAGGAGGGGGAACCCTAAAAGGCGAGGGGCAATCTGTCTGCAGTGGGGAGAGGAGGAGGAGGAGGAGAAGAGACAGAAGAAGAAGAGTGGAACATGCTGGTGGGACCACAGGGGGGGGGGGACCAGACTAGGGCTCCACCGTGATGCAAATGGAGTGACCGGGCAGAGGCAGGGAGGGGGACAGGGCCCTGCAAAAGCAGCAGTGCTGGCTAAATGCAGAGATTGTACCCCAGCTGCTGGTGACGGGGACCTGATTCCTTCTGTGCAGATGTCGCATGCTGGGGTGAGCCGTTATTAACTGAGAGGAGTCCCGGTTTAGCAGCAAGAAGGTGTGTGGTTGAGTGCACGTTAGCACGGGTAGGAGACATCCTGCAGCCTGCAGAAATGGAGGCGGCTTTTGGGGCCTGGAGCACATTTTAACGGGAGGAGAAGTCTGTAAAGCTAGTAGCCACCTACCTACATCCCATTACCGCTACCTCCAAAAAATAAGAAAAGGAAAGAAGAAGAAAAGAAAAGAAAATATATAGGAGGCCTTCAGGTTATCAAAAAATAATATAATCCTGGGATAAGATTTGCTTTGCTATATTCATTTTAAGATACAATGGCTTAATGAATGGAGAACTGATATATTGTAAAATATAGATTTAGTCTTCCAATCCTTAGAGTCTCCAAAGTGACGCCTTTTTGTAGCTCATGGCTGACTGACTGTGGCGTCAGGATGGGGCTGGTCAAGGCAGGATTGGAAAGTCCCAACTTCTGGGGAAGAGAGTGGGGCTGAAGGTGCAGTTCATCACCAATGGCCAGAGGGTTGAGTTGATCATGCCTATGCCGCGAAGCCTCGGTAAAAACCCAAAGGGACAGGGTTGGGGTGCTTCTGGATAGCGTGCGGAGGTTCCTGGAGGGTGGCATGCCAGGGGAGGGCATGGAAGCTTCTCACCGCTTCTCCCATGCCTCGTCCTACACACACCCCTTCATCGATGTCCTTCGTAACATCCTTTTATAGTAAAGCAGTAAACATAAGAGTTCGGTGAGCTGCGCTAGCAAATTAATCAAACCGAAGGAGGGGATGATGGGAACCTCAATTCATAGCCAGTTGGTCAGAAGCAGGAGGTGAAACAACCTGCTGAATGATCTCCAGGTGGACAGGGTCAGGATCGGACTGAGCTGGGGACACCCAGCTGGCGCCTGCTGCAGAGCTGACTGCTCGCTGGTCGGTGGGGACACCCCACACATTGGGCCACAGGAGACTTCTGTGTTGACAGTTGTGGTGTGAGAGCAGAGGAGAAGCAGTTCGTGTTTTATTCCCACTCAATAACTACTAAAGATGTTCTCAGCTCTGGACACCAGGATTGCGGGGAAGTGCATAAAAGGCTGGTATTCATTTCAACAGGACAACCCAAAAAAGAAATGGTTTAAGCACTGGGCCTCTAACTGCGTGCTCTGTGAGTTGGAGGAAGGAGGGTGCAGTGCTAGAAAATCCCGGTCACAAGGGTAGCCAAAGGGCCCTAAAAGTCCCCTTTTCTCTGTTTCTACCCACCATTGAGCTAAGAGTCTGATGCAAGATCCAAAACATCGGGATTTGGCAGCATTGCGGCCATTTCCCAGGCGAGCTGTCTGGGTCTACTGCGGGGTCTGGCTTGGGGCAGAGTCTGGGGGTTCTGTAGGAGGAGAACGTGTGCAAAAACAGCCCCATCGCCTGTGAGCACCTTGCGACACTTGCTCACCACTGTGTCACTCAGCACAGTGCCGGGCACACAGCTGGAGCTCAATACATGCTCATCTGCTCATCGAATGAATAAATGAATGAATGGGCTTCCTGCCTTAGGTCTCTGCTAGCTCAGAGATTTTCCACATTGGAGCAGCTAGAAGTTACCTTTCTAAACACAGATCTGCCTGCTTCAGGTCGAGGTCCTTTTCAGCCTCTCCCATCTGTAATAATAATCCTTATTCCTCCTCAGTGATGTGTATTCAGTCCCTGTGGTACAATTCATGACCCTCCATGCCCTGGGTCCCAACGCCTCTTTCCGGTTCTGTCTGGCCCTTTCTCTCCAAATACCACTTAGCACACGATGCTCTCTCATAGCCTTGACAATCTAGAATCTCTTCCACAACTTGCCCCCATGTCCCCAGCCTTTAGCTTAGGAAAACCCATTCTTCAAGGCCCAGCTCAAACATCACTTCCTCTGAGAAGCCTTCCTGTGTTTTCCTTGCTTCTCCTTGTCCATTATTTTACAACAGGGGGCCTGAAATTCTAATAGCACCGATCTCACTCTGTATCTTAAGTAGCTTGTTTTTTGTCCATCCTCTGTGCTCTCCTTTGGGCTTCTTGAAAACTAACACTGTCTTATTTGTCTTTGCATACCCAGGCAATCAACTGTTCAAAGGAGGAGGAAGGGAAGCCAGGGAGGCTCCAGGAGTTTGGAAGAAGTATTAGCAGGTTAGTGTTAGGGACATAAAAAATGGCAGACACTTAGCTATTTGCCCCAGAAATTGCTGGAATGGCTGCTGAATTTCCTTGTCCTGATTTAGCTTCCATCCCAGGAAGTAGGATTGCTACTGAAGGAGGGAGGAGGGAGAGGAAGGAGCCCCTGGACTGTCCTCCCATAAAACACTCTCATTCCCTTAGACACGCCCCACCCCACCGCCAGATGAGGTTGGATTTCCCTCCTCTTCTCAGTTCTTTCTCTCCAAGAATTGGCCCTGATCTTAGAGCGGCCCACAGGGAGGGCACACGCTTCCTCCTGCTGTCATCTGCCCAGTAACAGTAGTGATCGGAGGGGCTGCGGCTTCTTCTGCAGCCCTGTTTTCTCAGGCGTAAAAGTCCCCTCTCATTTTCTCGATGCGGATGGTGTTCCCGCTGGCAGCCTTCCTCGGCAGTTCACTTGTCACTCAGGCCCCGTGAAAGGCCCCCTTACAACTGGCTCATTCACTGTACCTCATTGTCCCTGCCCATTCATTGGCATTCATGGGGATAATTCCTCCCGCTGCCACATGCACGGAGGCGCGTGCACATGTGTTGGGACCCCATGTCCCATTAGCAATGAGGACACTTGAAATAAAGGGCGGCATCGCCTGAATGCAGACCCGCCCTCCCCTCTAATAGCCGAGGAGTTGATTGCGCTAATGTTATTTCAAGGAAGTACCGGGAGAATTGGTGGCCACTGCAGACCAGGGGGAGAAAGGGGCGGGGGGTGGTCCTGGCAGTGACATCACTCCACACAGACACTGCCCACCCCCTCTGGTCCTCCCCAGAACCAGCCCTTGGGAAGCTGCGCTCCCACCTTCCTCCAGGCCACTATTCCGGCATTCAAGGCTCTCCAGTACCTCCCAGGCTCACCTTCTACCTCCTGCCTGCACGGAATTCTGCCCCAGCCAGCTAGTTCTGCTCCTATGATCTTGAACTCTCACACTGCTTATATATTCTCTCAAATCATTGCTTGGGGGCTGGGGAATTGCAACGGCAGGAAGAACAGTTGTTCTCCCTGAGCAACTCAGCGAAAACGGCATTTGTCAACATTTTTTAAGATAATGGTTAACAAGGTGATTGTGAGGACGATGAAAGTCCGAACTTGAAAGTAATTAGAGCAAACAGAGCACAAGGAGGACCGTGATAGGAGATAAGAGAGAACAGGATCAGGGAGGATGGTGCCATCATTGTAGCCTATCCTACTACCCTGAAGTATAGTCCCTGGCTGCCCCTAGACCTGAACTTCTCCCCTGAGTACCAAAATCCCACAGCCAGGCCCTCCAAGACCCACTCTAGTCCCGCCCTTCCACAAAGGAGGCCTTCCCTGGTTGCCACCAGGTGTGCGGGTCCTCTGATGCTCGTGGGCTTCCTGGCAATACCCTCACGGCACTTATAAGGCCCTTCATGTTCACACATCGTAACTACTCAGATGAGATGGCAAGGTTCAGGCAGGAAGAGGTGGGTCTCGTGCCTCTGTAACCCTCCAGGGCACCTGGGTGAGAAAGGTTCACACCTGAGCAGGTGAGAAAGGTTCACACCTGAGCAGCTGCTCTCAGAACTTGCTGGGCTTCCGGTCCAGCGGATGCAGGCTGATGTTTGCCTGCCTGATGCAAAACAATAGACTGTGCCCTCTCCCTGGACAAATGTGACCTGGTGGGCAGTTGCTCCTGAACATCAGAACCATTTTGTAACCAAAGGAGCAGAGGTTCTAGTGTCAGACAGATGAGGATTGCAACGGAGCTCTGCCTTGACTACCTGTAAGGCCTGCTGCTTAACTGCCTTGAACTCCAGTTTTTTTTTTTGCATTTTTAGGTTGTAGATGAGTTTCTCAACCTGGGCATTACTGATAAACTGGACTAGATAATTCTTTATTGTAAGGGGCTGTCCTGTGTGTAGTGGGAAGTTTAGCAGCATCCCTGGCCTCTGCACACTACATGCAGTTGCACTCACTGCCCCCCTCCCCCACCAGTTGTGACATTTAAAAAATGTCTCTTTTACACATTGCCAAATTATTCCTTGAGGGGCACAATCTTTCCCAGTTGAAAACCACTGTTATAAACACTCTGGAGTTGTTCTAAAGATCAGAGGATGTGATAGCATATGGAAAGTGCCTGACCCAGTATCTAGCATATATCAGTAGGTGCTCAATAAGTGTTATTTCTATGTGAAATTTAAAGAATAGAACTTTTTAGAATAGACTATAACAGGGCAGTTTCCAGGTACATCCTCATGCTCCATCCTCACCCTCCAGGGAGCACCCCTGTGGGATCAGAAGAGGAGTGGAGCCAGGCTGGCCCTAGGAGTAAAAGCTCTGGAGAAGTTGTCCCAGCCCAGTGACATCTCTTGTCACTTTGCTGCTCTCAGGACTGAAAAGAAGGAGACATGTTATGGATGCACAGATGTGTTCTAGAACTGTCTACCAGGAAAGGGGTGCTGTAAATTGATATGGTCTGAATGTTTGTGTCCCCCAGAATTCATACTTTGAAACCTAATCACCAAGGTGACGGCATTAGGAGGTGGGGCCTTTGGGAGGCGATTAGGTCACGAGAGTGGAGCCCTCATGAATGGGATTAGCGTCCTTATACAAGAGACCCCAGAGAGCTGCTTTGTCCCTTCTACCATGTGAGGACACAGCGAGAAGGCACCTTCTGCGAACCAGAGAGCAGGCCCTTGCCTGACGCTGACTTTGCTGCCGCCTTGCTCTGGGATTTCCCAGCCTCCAGAACTGTGAGAAATAAATTTCTGTTGTCTACAAGCTTTCCTGCTCATGGCATTTTTTTATAGCAGCCCGAACAGACTGAAGTCTGTTCTGGAGGCTCAGAGAGGGACACAGCTTGAGCAGTTCACACGGAGAGCCCTTTGCAAGCGGACAGCCCGTTTCCACTCGGCTCTTCCTCCACACCTGGCTGTTCTGGGGAGACACACGGCCCGGTCTGGGATACGGGTTATGTAGAGTCGCGGTTCATATTGCAGGGAGAGAGTGCGGGAGACGCTGCCGAGATGTCAGCTGTCGGCGCAGGAAGGAAGGACTCAGGGTCTGCAAACCGCAGAGGAGAGACTGCCCGGCAGTGCCCACTGCACATCTGGCTGAGCAGCTGCAATGTCCTGCCTGCCCCCGACGCAGCCTCTCCATCCCTGCAGGCCCAGGATCAAAATCTTCCCAGTCCACAAATCGGGGTTCCATCACAGGTAAAACCAACTGAATATAGGGAATCTCAGACATGCCCAGGCTACAGACACTCCACTTTTTTGATGGTGGAGTCAAAATGGCAATGAATTAGAGGTCAGGCCTCCTGGGCTTGAACTTGGCCTTCTGGGCCATGGATTAGTTGTGTGGTCTTGAGTGAGTCATTCTCTTCGAGGCTTCACTCATGGGCAGCCCCATAACTGCTCTTTCCAATATAGATGTTTTGGAAGGCTCCGGCCAGATCAGTGACTAAACACGCTTTGAGCAGAGAGAAAGGATTGTTGGTGAACATCCACCACCAAGTCCAGCCTCACGTGGAGGGTGCACAGGCCACACCAGAGCCACTTAAAAGGGAGTCACCGGATCCCCGATGGAAGGGCCGAGTTAGCAGGATGGGCGCAGAGCAAGGAGTCCCCAGGAGGCTGGGGCAGAGCTGCCCTTCTGAAATTAACGAGTCAGGGTGGAATAGGGGCTGGGAGCCCGCAGCCCTCAGCTGGGATCAGGGTCCACTGAGCAGTAGATGAGCAGAAAAGAGTTTATTGTTTGTTTGTTTTTGTTTTGATCACAAGGTTAGCTGAGAAAGGGGGAAAGACACGGGCATGCACGTTTCATTTTTTTTTTTTTTAAACAGAGAGTTGAGAACCAAAAGCCCCCGAGGAGCCTTCTTCACTCATCTTCTTTGTGTGTCGCCTGTGCAGACCTGTGGACCTGACCCAGCAGGTACCTGGCCGTGTTCTGTGGTTCTCCTCCTCTGCATCTGCTGGCATCCGCCCCCTCTACCGCAGAGCCCGTGTCAGCTCGTGCCTAGTGCGTAATGACAACCTCCAAATGGCCTGCCTGCCTCTCCTGCCCCCTAGCCCTTTCTGCACAAAGGACTTTCTAAACACAGATTTCAACACCTGGGTCACTTACCTGCCTGATAACCTTTTCATGCTCCCACGGCCTCAGTCACCAAGACCCGTGCGACCATCGGATAGTCTTAGGTGACCTCTCCATCGAGTGACGAAATCAAGAGGCTGTGTTTGAAACTGATCTTACCACTACTTCCTCAGGGGGAGACCTTCCTGCTCTCTGAAGATGACAGAAAGATCTCACGGTGGTGACCTCGTAGGCCACTGATGGTGAGCATCAGTGACAGTGGACGTGAAGGGCTTTACAAACTCTCAAGTGCAGTAGCAGCATTCCAGTCCATTCGGGTCTCTGGCACCTCTCTCAAGGTCTATGCAGGATGGTTTTCTTATGGTTCTCATGTTGTAGGGATTCTCTCTCTTTTGATTGGCAGGCAAATCCTGCCCTCCAAAGCTCACCAACTTCCCACCCTGGAAACTTCCTTTGCTCGCTGCACCCCTTAGTACTGAGTCTGACCTGCCTCAGTTCTTCTGTGCCTAGGTAGGAGTTCTGTGGCTGAGGCTTCCTCATTATCTCATTTAATCCTCACAATAGACTTAGTAAGGTTTCCGGATACAACATTAATATACAAAGACCAAATGCACTTCTATATATTAGCAACAAATAAACAGAAAAAGAAATTTAAAAAAATACCATTTACAAAATGTGTATGCCGGGGAATGAATATGAACGAAGTTATCCATGACCTCTACACTGAAAACCGTAAAGTATTATTGTGATAAATTAAAGAAAATCTACATTAATGCAGAGATGCACCGGGTTCATGGATCAGAAGGCTTGATAACCTACAGATTTTAATTATTTCCAGATTGGCCTATATAGTGTCAATACAATCACAGTCAAAATCCCAGTGGCTTATATATTAAAATGCAAAGGACCAAGAATAACTAAGATCATATTGATAAAGAATCAAGCTGGAGCGGGAGTGGTAACAGGTATCGAGACTTACCATGAAGTAACGGTAATTGAGATGCTATGCTATGGACACAAGGGTAGATAAATGGACCAATGGACTAGAATAGAATCCAGAAATAGACCCACATATATGTGGTCACTTGATTTATGACAAAAGGGGACACTGTAGAGCAGAAAAAAATTGCTGCTGGGTGAGCTAGTGTCCGTTTAGGAAAAAAACGAAGCTTCACTCCTAGTTCACAGCACATGCAAGTATTTCCAGATGGATTGTAGATATAAGTGCAGAAGGTAAAACACCGAACTTCTAGAAGAAAACAGGAGAATATCTTCCTTGACCTTTGGGCAGGCAAAAATGTCTTAGCCAGGACATAAGAAAACACTAACACTAGAGGGAAAATATTAATAAATTAAGAATTTATTTTCATCAAAGGTCTCTATTGGGAGTGAAAAGGCAATCATAGAGCGGAAGAAGATATCTCCAATACATAGACCTGAAAAAAACCAACTCTTATCAGAATATGGAAAAGAACTCTTATAAATCTCTAATTAAAAAGAAAAAACAAAGCAAATTTAAAATGAGCCAAAGATTTGAACAGGCACATCATAAAACAGGATATTCAAATGGCCAAAAATGTATATAGAAAGGTGCTCACCATGATTAGTCATCAGGAAAATATAAATTGAAATCACAATTAAATGCCCCTAGATGACCACTAGAATGGCTAAAGGAAAGTCTTACAATACCAAGTGTCGACAAAGATGTGAAGCAAGGGAAACTCTCAAACACTGCTGGGGGGGTGCAGACTCGCTTGGCCACACTAGGAAAATCTTGGCAGTGTCGAGGTTGAACAGAGGCATACCTTCTGGCCCAGCAACTCCACCCCGGGATGTATGTTTGGTAGAAGACGGCCACATGAGGGCTTTGAACCCTCAAAGGTGGGTCTTTAATCCTGTGTCTCTGCTGTTAGCGCAGGGCTGGATGCTGAGTGCTGAGGATGGAAGGCCTGGTGGAATCTAAACTCTCACCTGCCTGCCCTTCCTCTACTTGCCTTTCCCTCCTGGCTCCAGGGACGGTTCCTGAGCTTGTCCTGGCTCTAGGGACCCTGCTTCCCTGCCGGGTGGAGCCTGTGCCACCTTAAGGGCAGGGGCTAGCTCCTTCCTCGCCGGCAGCCCCGCCCACCTGCAGCTGTGCCGCCACCACTCAGGATTGGGGGTGCCCCACTCACAGTGCTCTTGGCTGAGGTGTGTGTGTGTGTAGGGGTCTCCACTATGCTGTCTGTTCAGCCCCCAGCTCCTGCTCCTCCCTGGGGCTCTGTCCTCACTGCTCCCTCGCCATCTCAGCCCAGCAAGCTCCTTCTCCTTCCCAAAGAGGAGGGAAGCTTTCCCAGTGGCGCTGGCAGCTCCCACAGCAGCAGGGATGGCCTTCCCGCTGTCTCCCTCCCTCCCCCACACAGCAGGGGGGGCTCTTAAATCACCGCCGCCGCCTCCACCTCCTCCTCTTCACTGAAGACTCAGGACCTGGATGTTGTCAGGAGCCTGTGCGAAGGCCAACTGCCAGCTTCCCTCGGCTCAGGAAGGGGGTCGGCACTGCCTGGAAGGCGACATCCTGCCTCCCTGCCATCACCTCGGGCCAGAGGCAGTGCCCCAGGTGAAGCAGCAGTGCCAGGTCCCTGGGATGTCAAGCAGGGGGACAGAGCCTCTTGGGCTCCCATTCGCTGAGTGTTTTCCGTGCACTAAGTGCTGGACCACGCATGACACACACGTGATCTGGTGCAAGCCTCGCCCCCACCCCGAGAGGGGGCATTGTCATCACCCCCAGCTTTACACCTGGCCAGCAGCAGCGCTTGGCTTTGAAGCCAGGCTGTGGTCAACACTGCTCTGGCCACACACACACGGTGCCACTGGGCAGCAGCTCTCCCCACGACCGTGCCCTCTGTCCCCTTGCTTCTCTGCTCCTGCAGACCTCGCCCCAACTCTGCCCCCAACCCTGCGCCTCCCCCACCTCCCTCCGCCCTGTGATCCCTTAATTTAACCCCGTTTCCCTGTCTTGGGGTGCTGCTGCCCACCCTCCAAGCTTCCATTTCCTTGTTCCTAAACCGGAGCTAACAGTACTACCTACCTCGCAGGGCTTGGTAAGGATTGAATACAATTTTATTTGTAAAAGAAGGATATAATTAAGAGCTTAATAAATGGCAGCTGTTTTTTTTTTTTTTACATCTGGGACTTGGCAGCCAGACACCTGGATTACTGGAGCTCAGACTCTCCATATATTTTCCCCCAATTTCTGCAAGGCCCCGGGCTCTATTTCTCTTCTTTCCTTATCTAAAAAACTCTAATCATTTCCATTTGGGGACTTTAGAGATTAGGTTTAGACAAAAGATTAGTAATCAGGTATCAATTGTGTGCAGGGATTGCTCTTAAAGTACATGGAAATCACTGATCTGACAAATGGATTATAAACTGGGGGGAGGGGGGAAAAGGGAGGGTAGAAAAAAACCCACCTTTCTAGAACAAAGGCTGCCATGTGGGAGGAACTGAATACATTCAAGCAGGGAACAGCCAGAAGCACTTGTGTGGACCTGACAGAGCAGCCCCAGCCTCCCGCCAGGGTGACACGGAGGGTGGGGGGTGGGGTGGTTACGGTTGGCGTTGGCGCCATCTCCTCTTTCCCCTCTGCATCTGCCAGGACAGCCCCGGGGCGCAGGTGAGATGTGGCCTCTACTGCTCAGACACATTCTACTGCCTTGAGGACTGAACAGGAGCACCTGTGGGGTGTCCGTGCCACCTGGATCCAGGGAAAGGAGGGAGGAAGGACAGAGTGAAGGAGTCCAGGTATCACCTCACCTCCGTGGCTTGGGTCAGGAAGAGCGATCGAGAAATGGCACAGGGACTGGAGCACCCCTGAGCGATGCTCGGGCTCGCACTGGATCTGGGACACTGACTGCCCCGTGATTTTCTGGCAAGAGAAACCTGCCGAGCCACCACCCTTGGAAACCAGACTCTTCCCTCTGGAGGAGCCTTCCAGCACTCAAAGTGGAAAAGGACTTTCTGGCAAAGGCTCAGCCCCCGAAAGCCCTTTCTGGTCCTCAGGGGAAGTGGGCCAAGCAAACAGGTCCCGATCACGGGCGCCCTCCTGCCACGCTCAGCCCCCTGAACTGGCTGCCTCGCAAGCACAGTCCTCAGTCGCTGGCAGAAAAGGGGGACGGCGGAGTGGAGGGAGAGGAGAAGGGCTCTGGGCTCGTGTTGCCACCTCTTTCAGTTTTCCTGTCCTGGGACCCACCTCCCAAGGCCCCTTCTGGGTGGAGACGAGTTAAGCAGAGACCACATCTTAGCACCATTATTTCTGACTCTTGGCGGGCTTCCCTGGAAGCATTTTATGCCAAGGAGAGTGAGGCCTAATTCTAGGCTGCCTTGTGTGTTCTTTAACAGGTTCCACATCTCTCACTAGCTTCTGAATCCCTCCCTGCAGCAAGGTCAATGGGAGTTTAGCAGCCTCCCCGGCACTGTGCGGAGGCAGCCCTTTGAACTCCCAGTCTCTGGCCCACAGGTGGGAGGATCCCACCACCCGTAATTTAAAGGGCTGGGATTGCCTGCAGGGAAATCCCACGGCTCCCTTGGGTCCTACTCGGCTTCCGGAGATCTCCGGGACCATTCCCAGTTCTAGAATCAGACAGCTCCGCAACCGAGCTAGGGCAAGCGACACAACATCCCTGCTCCCAGACATTCCTACAAGTCACGTGAGCCCCATGCGGGTGGAGACATTCCCCCCTCCCCTGTAGATAACAACATGTTAGAATGGAGGCATCATCTACAGCCATGCCATCCTGAACACGCTTGAACTTGTCTGACCTTGGAAGCTAAGTAGGGTCGGGGCTGGTTAGTACTTGGATGGGAGAATGGGGAAAATTGCCGGGCTTTGCTAATTCAGATTGTAACATCAGATTGGACCTCTAATGACTGTGTCCCTCAACTCCCTCGGCCACACCATTAACAGGGAAAAGTTTCTTCCACTTAAAAAAGAGACAAAGAGAGGCCGGGTGTGGTGCCTGTAATCCTAGCACTCTGGGAGGCCAAGGTGGGAGGATCTGTCAAGGTCAGGAGCTCCAAACCAGCCTGAGTAAGAGCGAGACCCCGTCTCTACTAAAAATAGAAAGAAATTAATTGGCACACCTTAAAAATATATAGAAAAACTGAGCGGGCATGGTGGTTTGCCGTAGTCCGCTACTATCGGGAGGCGAGCAGGAGATCGCTCGCAAGCCCAGGAGTCTGAGGTTGCTCTGAGCTAGCTGATGCCACGGCCCTCTACCCGGCAACAAGGGAAGACTCTGTCTCAAAAAAGAAAAGAAAGAGAGAGAGAGACAAAGAGAAGAAAACCAACATGGAGCTCCTAGAAGGTGCATTAAATCATTAAATGCCAGCTGCTCGTTTCAGGTGGGAGGGCTCATCTATGTGTCCCTGGTGGGGAATGCATGTCCAAAACAGAGTCAGCTTCTCCTTGGCTCACCCAGGCTGCCCCCAACTTGTTTCATGCCATTCAAGCAGAATATGCTTCTCTGGTTTTCCAGGGCAGAATGAGACTCTTCCATGCGTCCCGTGCAGTCTCCCATGTGAGACTCAGGCAGACCTAGGTCCTCTCACATCTGCGCAACCCCCATAAACGGAACAGAGAGAGAAGTTTCATTTTATTTGTTTTTCTTCCTCCTCCTTTCCTGACCTTACATGCTACATAATCCAGAAAATGATCCAGATGGGAAAGACATTGGCTTTGAAGCAGGAGGCAGGAGGAAGGAAGGAAGACAAGAGTAACTCTTTCTAGCCAATTGTTCACCCTGGGGAGAAATTCTCCTCCCCCGAAGTCTGTTCCCCACACTGGCTGGAGATGGCTTTGTGGGGGTCCTCCCCTGGGGAGGAGGGAAGGCCAGCCCTCTCCCCAACTCAGCTCCTGGCCTGCACACACATCTGGCACAATCTGAGCAAGAGATCTGCTTTCAGCACAGGGTGCCAACCTCAGGACACTGAGTGATGTCACACTCGTCTGTTCTGCATCATTTCATAGACTGTCTTTAATATGGCCAAATTGACAACACAGACAGACATGCAGGTGATGAAGGTGGAAATGACTCCCTCCCGTACTGTGTTGTCACAGCCGCCTCCTTTGCCAGAGTAAGTGGATAAGAAGGTTGTTGCCATGGCAGCACTACCTGGTCCTGATGTCATCCCTCGCTGGCCCCCGGACACCTGCCTGTCCCCAGGGCTCCTGCATGGGCAACTGCATGGGCAACTCACCTGGTGCCCCGTTTCCTCCCTTTGGAGCTGATGGGAAGGGGTGAGACTCACATAAACAGAATTCCTACTATGTTTCCACATGCTTTTACTTACATTGGCTCATGTAATTTTCATAAACATTCTATAGGAGACACAACATATTTTACAGATGAGAAACCTGAGGCTCAGAGAGGCCAAGTGACTTGCCTGATGCCACATAGCTAATAGATAGCAGAGCTGGGATCTGAACACTGGCCGATCTGATCCCCAAACCCGTGTTTTTGCCACTGTGCACTCCCGAACTTGTCCGCAGGGTTGACATGTGGGAAAAACCCCATACCTCGCCTTGAGGACTTCCCGTGCTGTCTCTACCAGGACTGTAGGATGCTTCCTAGGTTGAGGGTGAGCTCCTTGGGGAGACTAAGGGAGCGGGGCATGGGCTGAGGTGTGTCCTGAGGAAGGCCCTGTCTATAGGTGTCACCTCTCTAGAGCTCTCATGGGACACTGCCCCAGCTTCACCCCCTCTCATGGCTAGCTAGGGTTTCAGCAGGCAGGAAGGGAACTCCTGGGCAGGTACCACATTGAGGAACCTTCCAGAGAAAGATGGGAAGTGCTGTTCTGAGAGTTTCACAGCAGTGGGCAGGAGAACCCTTGGCACCTTGGTTCTTCTAAGATTGAGGGATGCCTGGAGTCCCTTGCCCAGTCACTGACGCGCCCCAGCACTGCCACATGCGCCCGCCTCCTGTCTGCAAAGCCCTCCCTGCATGGTGTGGCTCTCTGGGTGGGTAGCACAGCTGACTGGCATCCGACAGCCCTCCCGTTTTGTTTGGGTTTGGTTTAAACGGTGCACATATGAGACAGAGGCGGAGAACTTACTTTCATTTTTTGAAAGTATCAACTGGTGGCAACTATGACTGCCACAGCCAGCCTTCACTGTCACAGAGCCCTTAGAAGGACAGAAAAGGCAGAGGAACAGAATAAGATACCTAAAAAGCCCAAAGAAACAAGAAAGAAGAGAGGAGAGAAAAATGGAGACCCAGTTATGAGCTGTCACTGAAGTCCAGGGGCTCCCTTGACTTGAGTGGAGAGAAAAACCCACGAAGACTGAATGTACCTCTCCATTGCTGTGTTCTCGCATGTTCTCTGGGGCTGATCTGCCTGACACTCAAGGTGTGAGGGTCTGATGGATTCTACTGGCTTTTCAGTCCTAGTGGAAAAAGCCCTTTTGTGGGACACTCACTGGTCCTGGTTCTGTCACTAACCAGCCATGGGATCCTGAACAAGTCCCCTCCCTTCTCTGAGCCTGTGTCTTCATCTTTAAAAAAAAAAAGAAATTTAAAAAGCCCTCTGTGACTTCTTCCAGGTCCAAAGCAGGGAGGTACTACCCATGTGCCATTCCCGTTTATATAAATAAGTCTTGTTCCCAGAACCTTGACCTTGGACTATGAACTTCATTCTCCTTGAAGCCCAAACATTTCCAGGCTGCACAAGATCTCTGGGATCCTACTAGGAGATACAGGATGAAGATGGAAAGGTGCTCTAATAAATAATGCTATTTCTAGAAAGAAGTCTGTCCACTCTCAAATCCATTCTCCACTCCATCGCTAGATGAGCTTCCTAGAACCGAGGTCCACCGTAGGTTCTCCTCTGCCTGTGACTTCAGGGGTGACACACGCACACCGCAGCTGGCCCTCTCCAGTCTGACTCTAACTCACCTTTCTAGAAAGTTTCGTTTCCCCATGACCTGCTGTCCCTCTCTCATCAGCCCTAGCTTCAAGTGGCTGGAAAGCACACCCAGCTGTTGGGGCCCTTCTCCGGCTCTGTACCTTCCATGAAGACTGTACCTCACTCTGTTTTGTAGACTGACCTGTGTGTGTGTGTGTGTGTGTGTGTGTGTGTGTGTAATGAATGGTCTCATTCCCAACACCAGACCAGTCAACCAGTCACCAGACCACTAGAGTGCAGTGGCATCATCGTAGCTCACAGCAACCTCAAACTCTGGTCTCAAACGATCCTCCTGCCTCAGCCTTCCAAGTAGCTGGGAGTACAGGCACATGTCACCAAGCCTAATTTTTTTCTATATTTAGTGGAGATAGGGGCCTCGCTCTTGCTCAGGCTGGTCTCGAACTCCTGACCTCAAGTGATCCTCCCACCTCGGCCTCCCAGAGTGCTAGGGTTACAGGCGTGGGCCACTATGCCCGGCCCGAACGAAGTGTTGTGTGTGTGTGCAGAGTATCTGACATTCCTTCAGGGCAGCCTCTTTAATTTCCTGATAAATCTTGGAGCCCTCAACTTGGAGGTCCTGTCTGTGGCTCTAGGACAGAAGTAACTCCATCATCTGGAGAGAATTTCTAAGTCAACAGACGTCTGAGGTGCTGGTGGAAGGGCCCGGGAAGCTGCAAGCCTGGTGCTCCAGTCTGGTAGATAAGGAAATCCAGTCTCCCCGGGAAGCCACACGTCCTGCCCACACCTGCGCCACCAGCCGGCTGCAGAGCCTTTGAGCAGGGCCAGCTGCGGTCCTGGAGGGGGGGCACCCGAGGCAGCTGGGGAAGCCTTCTCGGCCCCCTTCAATGGCCAGCTCGATTTACGGTGCAGGTGGAGGCTGGGGGCTCTGCCTGGCTTCTCTTGTTTTCCCACCTGCCTGCAGTGCGGTTTGTCTGCTGGCGCCACAGAGGCGTTGGGGCTGGGGGAATTTGATCGGCAAGGAGGGGGAGGCTGTCTCCTCAAGATGTGAGCGCAGTCCAATCCTCCCCTCCCTCCTCCCCTTGCACTGCTCCGATGCCTTCTGGGGGGAGGAACAGCGAGGAGCTGAAGCTGGAGTGTCTGAAAGTTGCAATAAATAAGGGAAGCTGCCCTGAGTGCTCAAATTGATGTTCTGGAACTCTGCGGCCACCAGCCTGCTGCGCAAGGACAGGGCAGCCCCAGCACAGGCACCCTGCACACGCCAGGCGTGGGGCTGCCTCTCAGGGACTGGTGCAAGGCCAAGGGCAGCCTCAGGGCTCATCCTCCTCCCCCTGACAGTCTGAGGTGGTCCCAAGTGTCCCTGCCCGCTCCCCCCGCCCCAGCTGGCTGGAGGCCTTTGTTCTCAGGGTTTTCTCATTATCTGCCTCAAGCAGAGTGTGGGAGGGAAGGAGCCTGGGTTGGGGGCCCACCAGGTCCCAAGCCAGCGTGGGTTGGCACTGTCTCCCTTCTAACCTCTGCCCGGGCGGCCAAACAATGTTACCAGTGACTCAGAGAACCTGTTGTCAAGGCCGGTCTGCCCCACTTGACCCTTTCTCTGCTGCCCGACGTGAGAACCGACTCCTCCACCTCCTGCCAGCCCTGGTGCAATGCCTGGGCACCTGGGCACCGATGCCATCAGGACAGCCCCAGGCACGACACTGAGCGGGGGTCACTCCAGCCTTCTGCACCAGGACAGCAGGTCTCTAAGTTTTTTGCTTTCCTAGGTGGTCTTTTCTGCAAGTGTAACCCTTGCCCTCCCAGAAGCGTCTCACTGAGACGGCAGACGGAGCCCTTTCCCCTCTTGCCTGTCTCGCTTTCTAGGCCTGGTGGCCCCTGGGCGGCACAGGAAGATCTTAAATGGCTGGGCAGGAAGAGCCACCGTAGGCCTTACCGCCATCTGTCTCAGGCGTCTGGGGCTGAGCCGGGCTGTGTCCAGGGCCTGGCGCTGGGGAGACTTGGGAGGCATGACTCGCTTTCTCTTTCAAGGGGCTTATCAGCTCGGCTGGGAGGGGGGTGGAGATGAAAAGCTAGTACATGGGAACAAATGCTCAACGGGAAGAAGTACGTCCTGCAGAATTCAAGGAACAGGCAGTTCGTGGAAGGCAGAACCCTTCTCTCCCTGCAGCTGACATCCTTTCCTTCCTCCAGGCCAGCATTGAGCAGACCTCCAGGGCCTCACCGCCCAGTGCCATTGGGGTCACCGGGGACAGGTGCTGGCACACCCCAAGCCGTGTTTCCCTGCCTCCTTCGCGCTCTGTCTCACCTCCTTCCCGCTCTCCCCTCTCCTTGCATGTCTCTACTCAATTCTCTCCCTTTCCAGCAGGAATATAATGTTCAGCTGCCTTACACCCACTCTCTGAACACTGCCAGCGAATAATGACTAAGGTGGTGGGTGGAAGTACAGCAAGTCGAGACCAATTTAGCAGTCCAGGGTGCCAGGAGGAGGGTAATTTAGCAGCAAATGGCTTTGCAACAGCAAGGAGAGGGAAGATGCCCCCCAAGCCAACAAGCCAGTGACCAAGGGCACAGACCTGCCCTGGTGCCTCACGCAGGCACTGCCTCACCCCCGAGAGGCTAAGCAGTGAGGTTAGACTCTCACTCAGAGACAGGCAGGGTTTGGGAGCATGCTCACCCCACCCCAATCTCAGCTCCACTTTCGACACCCTCAAGGGGCCCCTCGAGCTGGGAGTCCTACCCAGACTGGTCCTTCCTCTTCTGATGGGTGCTGCTCGGCTTGGGAGGATCTGCAGCTCTGACGGGCACATGGCCACTGCTGTGTGCTGCTGGGTAGAAATGGGGGTGCTCTGGGGCCCCCCAGGGGGCTGCCTGAGCTCACAGATTGGCCAGCCCAGGCAGAGAGAGAGAGGCGGCTCTTCCGGGTCCTGGCATCGTGGGAGTCTCTTGAAGATCTGTGTGAGGTGCTGTGCTTGGGACTGTGAGTTGGGGCATCACAGGAGAGCATGTGTCGGAGGGAGAGGCGATGAGCACGGGTGAATGAATGTGCGTTTGTGTGTGCGCTCACACGCGCACGTGCTCTGGCGCCATCCCGAAGGCGGTTAGTTATCTTCCCCCACAGTGATGAACTGACACGGAAGCGCATCTATTGGCGATCTGCACGGGGCAGCTCTTGGCTGCCTTTGTTCCAGGTATGGGGTGCAACCCACGTCACATCTGCTCAGACGGCAATTTGGCCTGCCACTTGGTAAGAAAAAATCACCTCTCTGCTGGATTGATGAGAACAATTAGCTTGAGCTGCCAGCTAACACACACATTCCCTCTCTGCCTGTCCTCTGTCTCTGTCTCCCCCCTCCCTGGGAGACCCTCTGCTTCCCACGGTGCTCCATCCAATTCTCTTCTCAACTGGGGGGCAGCCTCCCTGCGAGACTGCCCCTGAAGTCTGGTTTCCGCACACTGCTTAGGTTACAGTGAACAGACTGCCACCCCATTTTAGTTTGGAACTTATTTGCTTATGGACAAAGTGGAAACACTGAAATAGATTATGCAAGAAAGTTTGGTGTTCCAATGAAATGCCATTAATTCAGATTCTGTAGAGGCAAGTTTTGCTTCAATTTCAACATGGAGTGAATTAGACCTTATGAATTGACTAGCTATAAATAAGGAACTGACATATGATAAACTTCATTCCTTAAATCTTAAGTAGACATTCCATTATACTAGATACTCCCTAATTTATTGCCTATTGAGCTTAACAAATATGTATGACAATCGCTTAGGGAGGAGGAAGGTGGTGGGGGAGCAGACACAGAAAAAGCGAAGACCACTCAAATGTCCTCACCATGCTTCATTTACAATAATTATGAAAGTAACCCATTCTTAGAATTTTACAAAGCTCTTTTTCCCCTGCCTACGAAACACTTGCCAACAATTCCATTTAATTGTTGAACCTAAATACATTTAATCAATGAGACCCAATGGCTTGGTAGTTATAGCCCCAGATTGGGAGTCAAGAGAGCTGGGTTCAAATCTCAGCATTCCTCTTAAAATCTTGGGTGAACTTCACCTTCGACAGGTTCCCTCAGTTTCCTCGGCTGGCAAATGGTGGAAGGAAACTTCTCCCAGAGACGTTTGTGAGGTGTCAATAATTATAATAATAATTTTATGTCCTAGTAATAATTTTATGTCCCCTCTTAAAGTGTAAAGTCCTGTCGAAATAAAAAGGGCTATTAAAATTATTATTAAGGAAGTCTAGACATGGTGAAAGTCAAGGTCCAGTAGGAAGTGAGAGTGTGGGAGAGGGAGACCCAGGGTGGGAAAGCCAGGTAGAGAGCGGCTGTGCCAGGTGGCATGGGAGGCCACTAGCCTGAAGCCCAACCCAGCAGCCTGGCTCTAGCTGACATGCCCCATCAACTTCTCTAAACCCTTGGAGAAGGAGAACTACAGGCAGATCTGCACACTGGCTGGAGGCAGTGGGGAGAGGTGAGTTATCTCCCCTTTTCCATTCACCAGCTCTGCCTAGGCTGGCCACGCCCAGCAGAAGGAGGCCACCCGTCCTGCGAGGGAGACAGCCCCATCTCCTCGGCGATCAGCTTGCACCCTGCTGTCAGGCCCTTGCCTGCCAGTTCATCAACTCTCTTCATACCCTCCTTAGGTTCAACTTCAAGGTTCGGTTCAGGGCCACCTCCTCCCTGGTGAGGGAGGTTCCAACTCACCTGCCAATTTTCAGTTTATTTGTCATTGATTCAGGTGTGCTAACTCTTCTTCCCAATGTTCATCACCAACTTTAGTCTCAAACCATTACTTAGCTTTGTCATCTCCCATTTCCCTGCTACCTCACATTTATAAGACTTTTAATAAATAGTGAAATGCAGAGGTTTTCAAACTCGAGTAATGATCTTTGAAAGGAAAACTAAAATCATTGTGGATCCCCTAGAACACATGTGGTAACCCCAATATAAGAAATAACGGGGTGATGCCAAGGGCATGGGAAGAGAGTCAGTGTGGCCTTGGAAAATCACAGCCAGATGACCTCCCCAAACATGGTAGCAATTCATACTCCCGACAGCTGCCTCAGAGTGTCCATTACAGGTTTCAAACTGTAGCAGCACAAAGATCTATTCAAAGGCAAACTCAAAGAGCTAATATGTAAATTGTCTAAATACTCCCCAGGCTATGGGATACTCCTTTGTAGGCAAAACTCCAGAAACACCTCATCATTGCCCTGGAACCATCTGCTTCTTAGGGTTCAAAGTCCAGGATTTTTTTTTCCAGGGCCTTTTCTAAAAACACAAAGTGCAGGATTGAAAAAGAAACCCAGGTCTAGATCATACCTAGAACCTTCCCCTTTTAGAACTGTACTTGTGGGCTGATAGATCTGGAGGTGGTATGGGTTGGGGGCCAGGGTTCCCTTGGGCTCCTGAACTGTTGGAGGTGGGGCCTGCGATGCCCCCATCTCTGCAGAGGCCCTGAAGGAGCCGGCCTGGGAACAGAGGAAGGAAAGTCAGAGGCCACTCAGCAAAGAGTGTCCGTGCAGAAATCCACTGTCGGGAGTCACGCTCCCTGCCCAGGGCCTCTGCCAGCTCTCCTTTCCCCTACTTTATTAAACAAGCATCTACTAAGGGCCTACTTGTAGTAGCCAATCACTGTACTCTGAGCTGGGAATTCACAACTCAGTTTCTGCTTCTAGAAACTTTGCAGACTCTTCAGGAACCAGTGGGTAAATGCTGTCATAGCATGGAAGTATGGTAGGAACTTGGAGGGAGGTATCTGACCTGGAATTAAGGAAGAGATAGGGGACGCTTTCCTGGAGGAGTGGATCCTATGGTTAAAACCAAACGTGGGAGCTAGTTAGGGGGACAAGGTGGAGGAACTAGGCAGGAATATTCTACACAGAAGAAACAGTGTGTTCTGTGCTCAAAGATAGCAGAAGAAAGTGGAAAGAGGCGGGGTCTAGAGTCTTACTGAGCTGAGTTCAAAACTCTGCTCCTCTGTGGACTGGCCTAGCTAAGTTATTTAACACTCCTCTTCTCGTAGTTATGCACACCCTGCAGCACTGCAGTGAAAATGAAGCGAGATGATGAATAAAAAGCCCTGGGCACACGCGGTGTACTTAGTGAATGGTATGAAATGTTACAGTATCATCCATTACTCTAGTCTATAAGCTGCTTCGCCATAGGTTTGCCACCATTTGCATTTTGCATCTGTGTCGCCTCATGCCTAGCCCAGAGCTTGCATTTGGTAGGCACCCGATGAATATTTATGAAATGAGTGTTGAATAAATGCAAAGGCATATAAATAAGATCTCAGGATTAGAAAGCCATTTATATATGTCTGGAAGCAGCTACCTCTGTCACTATGCATGCAGACACACAAGGCTTCTCAAAACTGAAAGGCACGTTTTCCCCTCACACTCTCCCCAGCACACCCCGCACGGCAGCGTTCCTTGCATGGCAGCCCCCCAACATGCATCGGCCGAGCCACGCACAGACAGATGGGGGCACCTCCTGCAGACACACAAATGCCCGAGCTGAACTGTTAAAACAAGTTTACCCTGTGAAGCGCACAGTAGCTGCTATTAATGTAAAATAACAGCTATCTTGAGCCCCAGCAAATGTCCCGTCTGCCCTCTTGCTTGCAGACAGACACCCACGAGAAATGCTGTTTCTTCTATTTCTGCTGTTTTTCTTCCCACCTTGGGCAGAGAGAGTGGCCCCACTCACATCCACCCCGCTGGGACCTCTTACTTGGACTAGCAGCTGCCCTGACTGCTCCCATTTTAACTGCGGGGCCTCAGGGAACACCCTTCTCTGCTGGTGGTCCTCAGTTTCTTCCTTGGCAGACTACAGAGAGTCAGAAGTGCCAACCTGGTAGTTATGTTGTGAAGTTCAATGAGATAACAAATGAGATAACGTCTGTGATGTGCCCAAAGCTCCTGAGAAGAAAAGAGCTGGATAAATACAAGGTGTCACGCCACACCTGATTAGTGTGCGTGCTCTCTGCCCCCACACTCCTACCCACAGACTGAGTTCTTCCCCACCCTTGAACACAACAAACACCTTTCCCATCTGTAAACGCTATCTCTGATACCCATATACACCTCCCCCAAAAAACACCTGCATTCTCCCTCAGTGTGCCCGCAGAAAATTGTTTTTGAACTTGGAGAAAGCTCAGGTTACAAACACCCTCTTGCCATACCTGCTGACTCTGCTCAGGGGTCTTGGTGCAGGAAGGAGTGGCAGGCAGACAGCTCGCCTCTGTTGCGGGGTCCTGTGCTCCCAGGATCCCTATGAAGCTGCACTTTTAGCCGTGTGGGGGACCCTTATCTGGAGTAGCCCCCCACCAAGCGCTGTCAGAACTCCACCTGGGCACTACTTTGCCAGTGCAGAGGGCTGGCGGCTGCAGGAGGGTGTGAATGCAATACGAGGAAGGACCCAGGAATGCTTTAGGTGCTCAGATCCCTGAGATACCTTATTCCTGGGCAATTGAGGACTTGGAAAAGAGCAAGTCTGGAGCACTTTCCCAGGCCCTATGCGCTCGTGGGCGGGCGGAACATTCATTGCCTCCACAGTTCTATCCCTTCCACTTGGAGCAGGAAAGAGAGACATCACCTGGCCCTTGGTGATGTTCCGGTGCCTGTGGCCACTTAGTTGGGTGCTTGGAAGGCTGTTCGGGGTGAGCTGGGGAGGGAGTCTGGTTGCCCGTGGCTGCTCGGGGAAGAAACGAACGTGGTGTGTGACTGTGTGTCCATGCGTGTGGTGCTTTGCCTTAGTTCCTGAATTGCACATCCAGGACTGACCCTGGTGACCTGCAGCCCCAGGGAGCCACTTAGATACCCCGAGTTAACCACCCTCCTCTCTAACCACCTCAGCCCATGTGACCTATTCCTTGAAGGAAACATTCCAAACCTCTAACTGCATCCCTGTCCTCCCCACCGGGGTGGACACAGCCCATCTGCAAAGTTCCAGACTGCAAAGTTCAGCGGCGCCGGGACTGTCAGACCCTTTCTCGGAGGCAGCGCCCCCCGCGGCCTCCCTTCCTCGCCTCCCACTTGCTCACCTCTGGCACGCGTGTCACCTAACATTCATGTCCACCAACATCAGATTCGGGGCTGGGAGGAGAGACACCCTGTCTGCAGGAGACGTGCAGACAAAGACAGCAGGACGGACGCACCATGGTTCCCTCCAGGCGGGGGCCGGCTCCGCAGCACCCACCCCGGCAGGGGGGAAGACCGTGACAGCTCCGTGCGGAGACAAAGACACCCAGACAGACGCTGACACAGACAGACAAAGACCGACGGACGCGCGGGGGCACGGACGGGCTGGCACGCCGCGGGGAGCGCAGTGCCCCGCAGCCCGGCGCCCTGGCGCGGCCGCGGACACGTCCAGGGGCGAGCGGGAGGGACCCTCGTCCCTCGCACCCTACCTGTCCCCTGCGCCACCGCCGCCCTGACTTGGGATCCTTTTCCAGGTGTGTGTCCCCGCGTGTTCCGGTCGCTCTTTTCCCAGAGCAGCTGGGCCGGGCCGGGCGGTCGCGGCTGTCGCTGGCTGGGCTAGGCGCGCGGAGAAACTTTCGGCCTCCGCGCCCGGCGGGCTGTCGGGGGGCTTCTCGCGGCGGCGTCCCGGCTGCGGGGCGGCGGCGGGCGGGGGCGGGGCCGCGGGCGGGCGGGGCGGGCCAGCGCCGGCGCCGTCATTGGCCGGGCGCGGCCGCCGCCCGGGGCTCGGGGCTCGGCGGCCTTTGTTCCGGCTGACAGCTGCGGCTGCCGCGACCTGCGGGATCCCCGCGCCCGCCGCCCGCGCGGGGTCCCGGGTGCCCCTCTCCGCTCTCACTTGCACAGCCCCATGCGCAGCCCTGCCCGCTCACCTCTCCCCTCCCCCTTCTCCGACTGTTCCCACCTTGCTTTCATCCTGTCCTTTTTCCATTACCTGCACTGCCTTCTTACCCCTTAGCTTTCCCTTATCCATTCCCTTGCCTTCTCCTTTTCTCTGTGCCCCCTTCTTCTTTATAACCCCTGCTCTTCTCACTCCCCAGTTTCCTTTTCCCAGTGCCTTCTCCCCCTCTCGCAGAAGGCTGGATTTCTTGCTCAGGGACCAGCAGTCCAGTGAGGGCTGTTGCTTCTCCACCCCGGAGCACCCCGGCTCCCCAACAGTCCAAACGCAGACTTTTCCAGCTCCTTCCCAGGGCTGGCTTACTTTCAGGTGAAAGCAGAGGCCTGCTTCAAGTCTATAGGTATAAATCTCACTCGATCCCTTTCTGACACTATCATTTTCTCTACCACCCTCATTTTTTAACTTCTAGCAATTGAGCCAGGAGGGGATTCGAGCTTACAAGTTTTGGTTGGACAAAAGGCCAATTCACTGGGGTGCCAGGTACGGCATGCGGCTGGGGGGACTGAGACTAATCCACTGAAAGCTGGAAGGTGGCAGTTTTCCCCAGGGAGTGTGATCCTCAGCCTGAAAGAAGGGTGTGTGTGTGGAGGGGCCGGCGGGGTGGGGTGGGACTACCATGGCTGACCTCTGATTATAAATAGAATGGGTCCAGGCAGTCCAAAGGGAAACAGAGCATTTTGTTTCTGACACTCCGCTGAGTAGCCATCCTCTTTGCCTCCAGGTCTGAAGACTGAAGACTCCGACCATCTATTCTTCCTGAAAGACAGCACAGCCAGGGGCTAGAGAGTACAGACAGCCTTTGCATCTTGTTATTTGAGCCAGTCCCCTAACTTCCTTCTATCTCAGTTTTTTCCATTTGTAAAAAGAGGTAATAATCCCAGAGTATAGACTCCCTGAGGGCAGGGGCTCGTTGCCTTTTGTTCCTGGCCGGATACTTGGTCTGTTGTATTCCTGGACAGCTAGAACTTGCCAAGCACATCATAGGTACTCAATAAATATTTGTTAAATGAATGAATTCCTAGTTTATAGGTGTGTCGTGAGGATTAACTGAGAATCCGTGGCTTGTGGTAAATGCGTACACATGGTGGCCAAGACAAGTAATACTGCAATTCCTAAGTGTCAACCCCAAAAGCTACTCAGCCTTTTCTGAACACTACCTCCTTTTCCCCATGTTAATATATACCTGTCCCTCAGTCTGAAAAGCTTTTATCATGCTCCTTTAAGTCTACCTCTCGAAATTTGAGACCTAAAATGCAATCCTTACTCATACCTTCTCTGATCATCCCAGACAGAATGATGCTCCTTTCTTTAAAGTCCCATAGATTCAGTTCATTGACACAGAATATGTGTGCTTGTTTGCTGGTGAAACTGTCTCATGCATTTTTACTGAATAGGTTAACATAGATCAAACATTCCAGTAACTTAAGGAAAGGGGAGACTCTTGGAAGGTAGAATAAGGGATCAGGCAGGCTCCAGACTTCAGTCTAATTCATTTTTATGTCTTCAGATGTGGAATTCTGTGGAAGGGGCAAAGGGCCCTGGAAGCCTACTCTTTGTTCTGGTCCTAACACTGACTATTTATATGCTCTTGGACAAGCCACATCCCTGGCTTGGTAGGCCTCAGTTTCCTGATCTGCAAAGTGGGTGGTTTGGTTGAGACACTCCTTAAGGGCCTTCCTTCAGCACTGGAATCTTCATCAGAGACATTCTAGGTAGAAGATTGGGTGTGATGTACAGCCCTCTGTAATGACAGGGTTGGGCAAAAGGTGTGAGCATTGTGTTGATGTGTGTATGAGGGGTGGAACTGTGGAACACTATGGAATAACAGAAATACCCTGTGGTGATACTTGAGATAAAGTGAAATGCATTGAGAGTGGAGTAGAAAGTGAGGAGATAGAATGGGGGAGGAGAACTGTGATGGATGGTGTAGCATGTGTGTATATGTTGTGTGTGTGTGTGTGTGTGTGTGTGTGAGAGAGAGTACATTAAAGCCTCAGGAATGTGGTCTCCAGCAGTACAAAGCTATAATTAGCTCCCTGATTCAGCAGTTGGGCATGGTAGTGCAGTGGCTGGGTATGTCTGTCCCCAACACCACTGGTGGATTTTCAGTGTACCTCTTCTGCTTCCTTGTCTAATGAAGGAGTACTGCCCTTTCTGGGCACCTGGGTTCTTGAGAAGGTGTCCTACGTGGACCTCTGCCTCCCTCAGGCTTTCCCCTACCTGAGTTGAGTCTAGAAAGCTCGGTCACAAAGCACATTCTTGTAAAAATCTCCTACCCTCCTCGTCTATTCATCACTTGAGATACAGGGCTGACTGTTCAGCTTTTCATTCCATTCTCCATCTCTAGGACTAAGATTGGACCACAGGACCAGACCCGTGGACCAGTGAAGCCAGCAGCTTGTCTATATTACAAAAACTCTTCCTTCCTCAAGGTACTTTCCCCTATCACAATGTAAATAATTGACTGGCTTCTTGTTTGTCTCTTCAACTGGTCTATAAGTTTCTTGCTCAAAGACCATGTCTGTCTCATTCAACACGGAATCCCCAGAACCCAGCCCATTGTTGGTATACAGCAAGCACTCCAAAAATACTTGAATGAATGCTATGCGGGGAGGGGACAGGATGATGTTTCAGAGAGAGGATTGGACTCAAATTCAGATGATCCACATGGATTCCCACTTCTTCAACATGCAGTCTTGTCACAACCTTTGCAAGACTCAGTTTGCTAGTCAGTAAAATGGGGGGCTGATGACGTTATCCCTGTCTATCTGGTGGCAACTATACAAAGATGGAAAGAATTAATAAAGCTGCAGGTGGTGAGAGAAATATGAAATGTCAAATAATTGTTCAACATTATTTCAAGCCTAAAAATCCAGGGAGATCAAAAGGGCTGTTTATATTTAAGTGAGGTTGGATAATCTCTAAAAGTAGATGAAAAAATATTATAAAGCCAGACAACTTAGCAAAACTTTAAAGAATCAACAGAGGGCTGCTACCAATCTCCAAGCTACCTGAGAAAGGGTCAGGAACAAGGCTGGATTTCCTGCAGCCAGAGCCAATGCCCCATGACTTCAGTGTCCTGTCTCCCTTGAGGGT